TGAATCCTCTTCTCCTAAAGAACCGGTCCTGGAAGATCGTACTGACAAGGGTTAACCTCTAAATTCTTCGATAAAGTAAGGAAGCCTGACGCTGGGGTGCGAGGTAAATGACCAGCTAGCGTATCGTCGCCTATCGTGTGCGCCTACTTCTTCTAAATCCATGCGATTAACTTCATTTGTGAGAATTTACAAAAGGTCACATTAGAAAGAAGCTTTTTTCGGTCTGGCTTTCAAGGAGTGCAAAATGTTGATCTTATTCCTTCCTCCTCTTATTCCTTCCTCCCTTCCTTCTTCCAGTTGGCATCAGCGGGCTGAAGGTGAAGTCATCTGCGTCCTTGTCCTGCTGCTTAAATGTGATAAATTCAGTTGACAATAAACAGACGTAAGTTGAACAGCTGCCAGTTAAGGTATAGTCTGCGGGTAGACCAGAGACAAATACGGTCCCCCTTGGGTCCTAAGCAACAGGTCAACACAAACTTACCCTCAAGTAGGTCTGCACAAAGTCGTGGAGGATGAGGAAGATGAGGCCGAGCACGTTGCAGGCACAGGACGCAATTGATGTGGTTATGACCACACAGTATAGCAGAAAAATCCCTCGACGTCCACCAATATACGCCAGCACGGCGAAGGGTTTCAAAACTGCAAATAAAAACATTCGTTGGAAGTTTTATTATGGGGTGGATCACAGGCAAACTAGCTATAAACACGGGTATTAATTGAAAAGGAGAAAGAGCGTTCGCCGGGAGAGTTTTATTTGTCATCTGACGTTTCGGATGTTTACCTCGTCTATCCATCTTCAAAGAGTGAATTCTCTGGCTCATGGTTCTCGTTATATGCCACTCCTTTCGTTCGCGGGCGTAGTCTGCCAATCCAGTTCGAACCGCTCTGCATAGGCCGCGTCTCTAGGTGGTAACGGTTCGCCGTGGGTAACCGCGTACCTCACCACTCATCAAACTCTTATTTTATGCTGAACGTATGCCTCAATTTCTTTACCGCTATTTCAGAATATGTAACTTGGAGAGATAGACAGAGAGAAAAAACCGCGAGGCGGTTCGCCGAAAAAAGTATGTAAAGCATACGCGCAAAATGTTTTAATTTCATTAGGTATTTGGGCGTGCTAAACAAAATAGGTAAAATATGCATGTTGTTACCAATTGAACAAGTTGGAAATTCTCCACGTCCACTTCCATTGACTCACTGCCAGACCCCACTAAAATTGTCTCCCTCTTACGAAAGACTGTTCCCCCTTCCTCTGAACTGCGTGCCCGAGTACCCCCCCCTATCCAAGAATTGACCTTTGACCTTTTTGTTTCCAGTCCAATTGACACTGGTGTTAAAACTAGTCCCCCAGCCAAGTATCTCCTCCCGTCCGGCCTTCTTGCCTTTTAATCACTCTTTCCACAATGCTTCCTC